ACTGGTAAAAATCAATGTGAATTTCTCCCATCCTTAGTGAGATCAGCTCTGAAGGCACAGGAGAATAGGATCAGAAGGTTAAAGATTATTTGCCAGGGCCTCTCTAATGCCCCATCCGGTATCTAAGAGGCCAGCCAGAACATCAGGACCCGAAAGAAAATTCTGAATAATCCTTTGGGGGCTTCCAGTTCTTCGCAGAGAAAAATTGGGACCTGGTTAATCTGATGCCAGGAAAAACTGTCCAAGGACTCACTTCAACACCACAACTGGGTGGACAGCTGTCTGGGGTCTCTTTCACTCTCCTGCCCACAATTGTATTCAGAGCCGAGAGGTTTTTCTTCTTTGGCCTAAAGACAAAGCAGTTTGCCTGGCACGTGAGATCTGAACGAAGATGGGCCGGCTCTAGAGGGGCGTTGCGCTTCTACCCACTGCAAAGCAGACTCTCCACAGCAGACTCTCCACAGCCTTTCATAGCATCTTAGGACCCCAAGGATCATCTAGTCCAACCCTCTGCCCTATGCAGAAACCCAGTGAAACCACCCCTAACCCTAACCCTAACCCAACCTCCAGAGATGGAGACCCAGCACTTCTATAGGTGGACTTCAGCAGGACCCCCTCCTACTCCTGAAGACAGGGTTATTGAAAGTCATAGTAAGCAGTCCCACAAATTAATGCTAAGCCTCTTCCGGTTCCCCCTTTCTTCCTCCCCTTGTGAAAGAGGCTTCTGGTTTTCTACACCATTCTCCTTTCAACTTTCTCATGGCACAGCTGCATGAAGAAGTTGCAGACAGGGGTTCTCTTTGCCTTTCCCCCACGTACGAGACTGAACCCCAACCACCACTAACGGCTTATTTTCTAGTAACTGTCTACGATCTTCTACTAATAAACCTCCTATCTTTTCACATTCCTTCCTCCACCTTGTTTTTTCTCCTTTCCACAACAGGATAGAATAAATAACCGTGCAACCCTTTGATCGGTAACATGTGCCCTCTGGTTAGCAATGCCACGGGGTCGAGACCACAACTGATTTCATGTGCTCAGAAGAGGAGACTTCACACCCAACCCCAGCCCTCAAAAATGTGCGTTGGCGCCTCGTGGATTTTCCTCCGTTTCTGTTGACAAAAACCACTGACTGTCTTTGACCAACTTTACCGTTTCCTTCAACTGTTCTACCCAAAGAAGGGATCACACAGGGGTGTCTATGGGCCCCCTCCACCCCAGCAGGGGCAGATGGACTCCTGTTGTCACTAGCTAGCATTTTGGCTGGGAAGGATGATGGGGGTTGTAGTCCAGTACATCTAAAAGCACCAGGCTGAGGAATGCTGGCTTAGTAAGGGTTCAGGGTGGTAATGCAGCTGAATCCCAGGCTAGGCTGAGTTTGATTCCTTATCGCAGTGGCTCAGCGCAGTGGCACTTGGGTACAGACCAGTTCATTGATGTGGTGCTAGCTTGGAAGTGGAGAGAATGTTTGGTTATCTCGCGAAAGGCCCGATTTTTTCTCCTTTTATGGTTGGAGGAAGGCTCCAGCCCGAGCACCTCAGCCCAACTCCCACTGCCACGGCAGCCGCAGTCCCGCTCTCAAACAGGAGGGCCTGGCTGCCGAGCGCCCCATTCCAGGAAAAGGCCTTTGGAGGCTATATTTGTCAAGGCTCTTCCAGCCTTCCAAAAAGGTCACTGCCTCTTCCCTTCCCAACAAAGTGATTTTGCTTTCCTGACGCAGTTCCCGTTTCCTCCGCGATGAGATTTTAATTGTTCTTCCAAGCAATCTCCCAATCTCCCCCTTGCATTCACTTCCTGTTTCCGGAGAGGGAAAGGAAACAGAGATTGCTGCTGCTGGTGTGAATTGTGAATGCTGGATTTGTGGGCACCAGAGGAGGGGGGCTGGAAGGAGCAAAAGCTGTTTTGCTGCTGCAGGATGAAAACAATTCTCCTCTCTTGCAGCATCAGTGGAATTTGCAGGCTTTAATCCAGCCCTAGACGGGACCTATAGCGAGGTCTGCGGACCCAGATCGTCTCCTCCACCCGCCACCCCCAGTGTCCCATTGGAAGTCCAGCCCTTCTTGAGAATTGTGGGGACCAGGGATTCCGACCAAGTTAGCCGGCGGTGGGGAGGGGTGTCGGTAGATACTGAAGGCCTGGAAGCGAGCGAGAGAAGGGTTTCTTAGTGCAGAACTTCTGCAATTTGAAGGTTGGGTTTGTCGCTCTGGGGAAAGATGGGCAGCTGTTTGCAGGAGTGGCTTGGCGTTGGCACCGGAGACACCCTCCAGCTGTGCTTGGAAGGGTGCGTGGCCCACAGCGTCGAGCGCTGGACTGCGCCGAGGAGGCAAGAGGGGACGGGGTTTGGCTGCCCCGGACATTTAGCCCACGTGGGTCTAGTGGGGGTTAGAAGGGAGGGCAAAACTGGCCCGGGGGGCACCAGATGAGGGGGGTCACGTCTCCATTGGTCTGACCGTGACGCATGTTGGCACAAACCTCTTTGGGGAAGGGAATGAGCAGTATCTTGTATCGCTCCCTTTGGGGTCCCCGAAAGCTGAACCGCAGTGCGCGTTCTGTGCCAGGTGTCTGGTCCAGCTAGCAGCAGCCAGCAACATATCCCATGCTTTGCTCCACCCTAGGGCATTCAGAGGTATACTGCTTCTGGAAGTGGAGGCTCCATTTACCCACCAAGGGTTAACAGCCACGGATGTCTTTTTAAGACCTATTTGAGCTACCAGCCAAGGCCGTATGTGTCAATTATGTGTCAGATGAAAAGATATATATTCCACTGGAGTTTCTACCATGAGAAAGGAAGAAAGATGTTTCCCTAACCTAAGCGATTCTTTCTTTATTTCTGGCTTCTCTGAAATTGTGCAACAATGAAGGAAGTGGTTTCTCAAGATGCAGTTAGCATTTATCCTTAAGCTCTGTGCAAGTTTGAGAAGATTATTTTTTTACATAGTCTTCCCCGAACTGGCAACCTTTCCAAAGTTCTGGGAAGACACCAGGTTGGGGACCACTGTTTTTACTAATCACTAGCAAATTTGCAGGAAGGGCAGCCACCATCAGCAGTGGCCATACCTGGAGGACCAAATTATGAATCTGTCAGCCAAGGTGGGACCAACGTCCGCCCACCTGCTTGCTTCCCCCTTTGGAATGGCGTCGCAGGATGTGGGGCAGTTGGCCCTCCCTCCGCCTGTTTTCTAAGTGGGGAGCTTCGACTGCACCATAATGGCCACCATCTTGACTTTTTTGACCAACACCCCACCCCTCTTTGTGTAAGTGGAAAAACAAGCCAGGGATCCATGTTTTGCTTTCTTCACATACAAACTGGAAAACTACGGCTAAACTACACAGCGAGTATAAAAGTATGGTTTAAAGCTAGCTTCCTTATCCTGGCTAGTTGGGGGGAAACTTTAATGGTTTCCTGCGTAAGTCAAGATGTGATTGAATGTTTCCTATCTAGGAAAGATGTCCTAGAGGCGCACAACTGTTTAATGACCCTCCAAAAAATTGAGAGGTGGGGACTCAGGGCCCCAAGTGGGTTACCCCACCCTAGAATTAATAAGGGGTGAGAGAGGCTCATTCTGCAGATGGGGCCAACCCACAGAGCTTGCTTTCACTTTAGATGGCTAACCAAGCCCTGGTGGCCTGCTTCTGGCACGAAGTTACGCTACAAACCCTAGTGAACGACTTCTTATTTTCTCCCACAATTTCTTATTTTCTCCCACAACTGGCTAGATGTACGTAACATATATAGTTCAAGGTTTTGCAAGTATTGACTGCTCGATCAACGAAAAAGAAAATATCAGCACATCGGAAATCTCCCCTTAGGAATAAAAGGTTGCTCTGGACTCAGCTTTCGGATCCAGAGCCCCCCTTCTTGTGCCTTTTACCGCAGCGTTACACTTCTTGGCCACAACCACCTTGTTGTTCAGGCTGAGGCGGGCACAGGACTCCCTGGGTGGAACGTTTCTCCCCCGCTAAGAGCTTCTCTTGCCGGCCTCACCGTCCAGACGCCTCTACCTCACCTCAGCCGAGGAGCTGCGTCCCTCTGGCCGGATAGCGAGGTGGCTCTTTCTGCACACAGACAAATGTTGCATTTGTGGGGGAGAGATCTTTGGAAGACGGGAGAAGGGGGGCTGCAGGCGCATGAGCTTCCCAGTTCAACCCCAGTGGAGCTCATGGACCTTCTCCAGCCTGGGGGCGTTCTTTCTTCCCTTCCGAACGGCGAAGCCAAGAACAGTTTTACCGCTTCGGCCCCGCTTGTAGCAAAGTGTCCTTTCTCAGAGATTTGGGGTTGACCCCCATTTGTACGTAAAAAGTGCTTTGCTGCAGCAAGCGCCGTTATCAGGGATCCAGAATGGCAAAAATTTAGCTATGCTTACTCAGCCCAGAATCACGCGTCGGGCCAAGCCCTGGTGTGTTTTAACCATGGTTCGTTAAAGAACAACAATAGGTTGGGTTCACACATCACACTACGCTGTTACACCCCAGCTAGGGCTGGGTTCGTCCGACATGCTAAGCTTCAACCAGTCCAGGCCGTGACCTATGGAGCCTGCTGGTGAAGTCTCCCCATTTAAGTGGGCACACCCGCTGAAGCCTTTTCCGGAGAGACCGCTCCTGGCTGTGGATTCTGAGGGTTGGGATCTGCCATTTCCCAGAAGCTGGTTAGGAAAAACCAGGTTAGAAGCTCAAGGGAGAACGCGGGCCACCTCTCGCTGCTGTCTCCTGAGCCAAGTGGGGGGACCAGGCAGGCATTCCTCAAGCGAGCCTCTGTATGCAGCGCCCCTCCCTGATTCGATCTGGCCCCTCTCCTCACGACCCCCATCCCCCTCTTCCTTTTGGCATAAGGTGGCTGTTTCATACTAAATTCCCTGCTGGGCTGTGGTGTGTTAGCTTCTGCTCGCCCATCTCCTTATCAGGCAGCAACACTCACAGAGCTTCCTGTCTGGATTGTCCATCCCAGTCCTGATTTATACAGGAAGGAGGACATAAAAAGCCGCCCTTCCACTTCCAAAGGGACCATCACTGCCGCTGACCATCATTGTTCATGACTTGGACGGGAGAAGCAGAGCAAAAATCCCAGAGTCAGCCCCAGCTGGGGTGGGAGGCCTTGAACCATGAAGAAGCCAAGTTCAGCAGATCTTGGCCAGGTGGCAGCAGGACGCCAGGAGAGCTGGTCGGGAAGGCAGGGCGGAGGAAGCCCCATCGCACAGACCCCGCAGAGGACAACTGTGAGCTGACGAGAAGATCCCAGGTAGGTATGGGAGTTTATGGGTCAAGTTTTCTAAGACGTGGGGCTTTGGGGGAAAGCTAGGGATGGATGACAAAGCAATGGTGGATCTCCAGTGCTGGTTAAGTCTCCTTGCTGTGCTCAAGTCAGGACATACGAGAGAGGGGTCTTTGGGAAAGGACCCTCTAGCACAACAAATGTAGGGAGGAGAGGCCCTGCAGAACATCTTGGTTGGGTTCACACCACACATTTTGTATGGTTACTGAAGGAGCCTGTTTTTGGGATTTGCACAAGGCTGCGCAGGCTGGGTTCCCACAGCCCAGTTAGCCACAAAACAAATCCCTACGTTCATCATGTTATGTAAACGCAGCTGCTCATTCTTTACCTGACTTGATTATGAGTGTGGAGTGAACCTATCAAGGGCCTATCAGGTTTATGAACTTTCCTTTGAAACACCCTTCCCATTCATCTAGCAGCTGGGTCTTCCTGTAAATCTTTGGCTAGGTTGCTCTGTTGTGTGAATCTGGTGTACAGGTCCTAGCTGCAGCCAGAATGAGAGAGAGAATCTCAGGTCCCCCAAGGAGGGGGCTGAGCTTTCCAGTGGTAGCCGCCTTGCCAACTTGGAATCATCCAGGCCAGAATGAGGAGGTGACCAAGGTGCTCCGCTTGCTGTTCAACAGGTTGAGGGCTAGAGGGGCAGCAGCAGGACTCTTGAACCTAAGGCTCCACGCGAAGCCCAGAAACTGAAATGGCCCAGGCTCAGTGCAAGACTAGGGCTGGGCTGGCACAGAAGGCTTATCCTGGTTACTAAGTGACCCATCTTCTAGGTTCACACCACATCCCAAGTCCTAAAGGCTAAGCTGGCCCAACCTCAAAGCCACCTACGAATGCAGGCGCTCTGTGCTCTGTCTTGGGGGAGATTTGGTTCCACTTTCCAGTCGCTCCAGATTCTGGGGACAAACAGGGGCTGGTGAGGTCCCCAAGAGCTCCCACTTGATCCATCAAAGGGTGCTTCAGATGGCATGGCAGCTGGCACTGTGGGCTCAGGGCACGGCCACACATGCTGAAGAACCTGGGTGCTGTGCAGCAGCTGGGAGATATTTTTCTGTGCAATGAGCTAGGATCAGCCCTCCGTGTCCCAACATGGCGGGGAAGTGTGGAACTCACCCTTTTGGGACGTGGAGACGCTACTGGCTATTCTGAAAATACGGAGGCTCGGAGGGCAGCATTTGCCCTTTGCCCTAGGAAACCTGCTTCCACACATGGTCTCAGTTGGACCCGGTTTTCCAGGGAGAATTTGCTGTGATGTCTGTTTGTCCCCAAGGATTTTGAAATTATTCCCCAGCCTAATTTAGACAGAGCCTGGGCTCCCAACAGTGTGTGAAGTTTCGCCCCAATCACCTACATTATAGTTCAGCGCAAAAGCATGCTCCCTGCTTTAATGGGTGGCATGAACCCAGCCAACTGTGATTTATTCAATAAGCCACGAATAAACAGACAGTGGCTTAAGACTACGGGTAAGCCCAGCCATGAACTGCAAGATCGTAACAATGCCAAGCGCCCAAATGAGAGATAGCAAATGGAATCTCTGCCTTCTTTAGGAACAACTCCCATTTTTCCACCCGATATATTTGAAATTCATCCTTATCTGATAAGACCAGAAAGAATGGAAAGGGTTGAGGCTGTTCCATTGCGATTTTCAATGCAACTGGTTTCCCTTCAGCTTTGAAAAGGCCAGTATTCTTGGAAGTCCAAAAGAGAGTGATTTTTTTTTTCTTTCTTAAAAAAAAAAAAGGCAGGCAATTTGATTCCTTGAAGAAGAAATCCTTCTGCAGGTTACAAACATGTGAAAAATAAATGGCTCTCCTGTCTCTTCGACCCCCCTGCTAAGGGAATGACAGGTTGGGCCATTGGCAGAAGTCTGTGGGTCACCAAGGGCCCAAAATGCCCTGCCTTGGACTCGGGTGGCACTCGAGGCTGGCCGGCGGAAGAGGCGAGCTTTAGGGGAGAAGAAAAGGGACAGCGTCGACCCACTTCTCCCTCTCCAGCTCCAAAAGCCGCCCGGGCTCCAACGCTTTTGTTTCTGGGCGTCCAGGTGGCTTGCAGGAGGGCAGGTCTCGCAGCCCAACCTTCCCAGTCGTGTCGGCTGGTTTCCTTTCAGCTGCCGGGCTTAAAAGGGAGCCCAACCTTTGCTTTGCACGCTTACCGGAGAGGAAGAGCATGCCTCTCCCTGCACGCCCTCTGGGCATCCACAGTTCGCCCACAGCTCTTGCCCTAACCCAGCAGCCTCACTCTTAGCACATCGCACCGGGGCCAAACCACCGCCCTGTTTCTCATCTTCATCTTTATTTTATTCCCAGTCCTTCAAACCCATCCCGGTCCCAAAGGACTCTGGGCGGTGTCCAACCTCAAAAACGAAAAGCGTGATATGGTAACTAGGATGTCGGTCGCTTTTTCCCCAGATACCTTGCCCCCCGTCTTTCCTGAGAACATTGTGTTACTCTTCGGCCTAATCAAATCCTAGTAAGAACAATGTGCTTTTTATTATTCCAGGTTGCTTTTGTTTCTGGCAGAATATGCCAACTTCAGCTAATTTTAGTTGGGGTGCGGAAGCCCCCAGTTCCAACACGGGAAGTAAAACAACACCTTTATTAGGACCGAAGAAAAGGACAGGAATCATGCTATTGGTTTTTTTTTCTAAAGGCCCCCAAGCACCGAGTACAGAACTGAGTGACTCTCCCGCAGATTATTAAGTGGCTGCTGGATCGCCAGACACGGGGAAGCAGGACGAAGAAAAGGGACAATGAAAAATGCCTGACTTCCTCTGCGCCTTTAGCGACCTGAAAGAGTCACCCAGCATCCATTTCTCCATCCCAGGGTGCTAACCACAGTTGGCCTCCAAGGATGGAGTTTGTGGTACAGCCCCCCCCGAACTCTCACGCACCCTAGTTTGGGCATTAAAAATGGCAGCACAAGTGCATTTCCAGCAAGTTAATTTTCAGAGCATTTCTAGGCACCCGGGGCACAAGCTTAACCTGATGCCTGTGGGTTTTTTGCCTTTTTTTTTTTTGCCCTAGCAGTAAGGAATCAAAACATCTCCAAAGGGGCAAATCCTGTTCAGGGATGAATGACCAAACAAGGACCAGGTAAGTCCTGGAATTAGTTTGCATCCTGTGCTGGCCATTGAAAAGGCCTCAAGGCTTCCAGGAGCTGCATTTTCCGTATCTCTAGTCCACCCCACCTGCGATTGCAAGACTTCATCTCCCATCATCCCCACCCAGCATGGGCAGGTTTCTTGAATCAACATTTTAAGAAAACTGGCTTAAGGGAGATGCTTGGAGTCCTTAAAACCACACGAGAGAAGCCACTGAGGTGGCCAGTGGTTTCCAAATCATACCTTGTGCTCCATTTGTCTAGCTGACCTTTATATTCCTATCCTGGCTAAGTGCTATAAACCAATTGTAAGCTGCAAGCATAAACAGACTTAATAAGCCCCTTGAACAGTAGCTATAGTGACACATTCTAGGAGGCACGGTTGGGGGGCAGGAAGACTGAAGGCCACACTCGGACTTGGGGGGCACACTAGGAAAAAATTGATTTCATTTAACTTACACTTGAATTAAATAAATGCAGTTAGTGAAATGCACAATTACATGAGCTGCGTTTAATTAATTGCCCTGCATTTAATCCAAGTGCGAATCAAATGAATTAAATGAAGAAACCTCCCTGTTTAAAATAGCGTTCTGTTCCATTAAAAATATTTTGACGGGAACGTTTGGCGGGGTGATCCCACCGCTGGAGGGACATTTGCAGTGCTCTGCCTTTTCGGCAGAAGGGATGGCAGGAGCCTCGTGGTGGTTCATTCAACAAACCATAGTTAAGCACACCTGGCTTAGCATGAAGTCTGGACACAGCCCAGGTTGAGCTTGTGCCCCGGGTGCCAGAAGCTCTCTGAAAATTAACTTGCTGGAAATGCAGTTGTGCTGCCATTTTTAATGCACAAACTAGGGTGTGTGAGAGTTCGGGGGGGGCTTTACCACAAACTGATTGTTCCTTGATTCTGCCAATAGAAGCAGGAAGGGGGGGACCATCTGGTACCCCCAAAAAGGTTAATGTGAGCTCAGCTGTTTTGAAAATATCCTTCCTTCGGTTGGCCCTCCTGTGACAGTTGAAACACCTTTGCTGCTTCCTGCACACTTTGGATGGGGGGGCACCGAAAACAAATTTTCAGGCAGGGGGGAGCAGGGCTGAAGCTCCACAACAGGGCCAAGGTGTGGCTTGCAATTGCGCGAACCCAGTCAGTTGGGTTTCTTCGGGAAGCTGCAGCTTTGACGGAAGCCAGGATGTCTCTTGTCGATTCCGTCGGTGAAATCTCTTCTGTCTGGATCCTCGGCGTCCTGGGCCTAGGAAGCAATTTAATTAGGCTTTTTAACTGGATTTGTGTCCTGCTTTCTTCCTCAGTCGAGCACTCAGGGACGGTCACAAGAATTAAAAGGCAGAACCCAAAACAGAAATTAAAAATATTATTTTGTTGCCCTGCTGCTTTTTTGCGCAATTACTCCCTTTTCAGTTGTGTTAAAGGCACTGGATTAAGATTACAAATCTAGCTGCGAGGAGGAGGAGGAGGAGGAGGAGGAGGAGGAGGGAGGCGTTTACCCATTTTACTTTTATCTTTACTGTGTTTCGCCAAGTTTTGTCCAGCAGCATGAGAAACTACTGAAGAATAGCGAGGGCGTCATACAATGAACTTGCACTGGGTTGGCTACACACAGTTGCTATTTTGTTCGCACACCAGTTGTGTTCAATACAACTAAACCCTAAAAATGTCACAAACACCACTGTTGTGTTTGCAGAGCAAGGCAGGCTGATGGCTACAACATAGAAGGCATGGGCTGGGTGCCCCCCAGACTGCAAACTATTTAACTCCATTTAGGTCTGCCCAGTTGAAGGGGGGGCGGGGGGGGCAAACCCAGCCATGAAAGTTATTGAAGTTTCTGGACCTAAATTATTCCAATGGAGAATCA